AGAGAGGACCTTTAAAATATAAACAGGCAAAAACGTTGGAAAAATTAAAGCGCGCGTTTAAACAGATAAACGCAATGAAATAAATACGCAATTGTTTTTACTTATCGCTGTAAGCTCACAAGCTTCTGACGTGCTATACACTTTTATATAATATATACAAGGTGTCCGGTAACTAACGGACCAATGATTAAGGGCGGATTCTCTGGCCAATTTGGAGACGATTTTTCCTTAGCAAAAATGTTGAGAAGTCAATAATTTTCGAGTTATAAGCGATTGAAAAAAATAGGTTTTTTGAAAACTAAACGTTTTGGAGTTAAAAGTCTAACATAATTACATTCTTCAGTTAATTTCAGGTAGAGTTTACTATAATAAAATTTTAATTTAAGGCTTAGTTATAAAGATACATAATGACAAAGATTGGAAAGTTGTAAAAAATGATGACCTTTTTCGACATTTTCGCTGAGGAAAAATCGTTCCCAAATTGACCAAAGAATCCATTTGTAATCATTGGTCTGTTAGTTACCGGACACCCTGTATATTGGACACGAGTTTCGTTTGTTTCAGATTCTCGAGAGTTGAAGTAGGAACATACGAGTATCATATATCGTTTGTGACTTGCCGAATGAAAGCAAGACAGAGAGCGAACGAGATGATGAGCTTAATAGCTCATAATGTTATAAATAAATAAATAAAAAATTATAACCTGACCTACTAGTTATTGAATCTTTTTTTAATAAAATGTTTCATTATTATTATCATCTAAGTCTAAGTCGTTTAATTACTTTTTAGTTTTTTAATAATTAATTTAATTTATTCTAGTCATTTTTATATGAGAAAAATAATATCACGTATACGTTTTATAATGAATTAATATATTTCGGGAACCGAATTATATATTCTTAATAATATAAAAGTGTTCAAAAATTATATTTGACTTTTAATTTTAATTATTTTATAGCAAAGAGTTCCGAAATCTCTTACACACATAATGGGGATTTTTTTCATCCATATAATTCGCAATTAAGTATATATGTTAATTATTAATTTTAATAAAATAAAAATTAAAATTAAAGGTCAAATATAATTTTTAAACACAAATATATTAAATTAATTATAAAACGTATACCCATGATAGTATTTTTCTCGTACAAAAATAATTAGAGTAAATTAAATTAATCATAAAAGATTAAAAATTAATTAAAGAATTTAAACTTATATTTTATATAATAATAATAAAACATTTTATTACGTCAAACCGTCGTGAAATAATTAAATAAAATTTGCTAGTTACGTCAAAGTCAAGTTTTCTAAGCTTATAAAACATTTTATTAAAAAACAGATTCAATAAATATAAGTACATGTTATATATATACTTATATTTATTGAATCTGTTTTTTTTATAAAATGTTTTATTATTATCATATATAATATAAATTATTTAATTATTTTTTAATTTTTTTATGAGTAATTTAATTTGTTCTAGTTATTTTTGTACGAGAAAAATACTATCACGGGTATACGTTTTATAACGAATTAAATATATTTATGTTCAAAAATTATATTTGACCTTTAATTTTAATTTTGTATTTTATTAAAATTAATAATTAACATATATACTTAATTGCGAATTATATGGATGAACAAAATCCCTATTATGTGTGTAAGAGATTTCGGAACTCTTTGCTAAAATAATTAAAATTAAAAGTCAAATATAATTTTTGAACACTTTTATATTATTAAAAATATATAATTCGACTCTCGAAATATATTAATTCATTATAAAACGTATACGTATTAGTATTTTTCACATATTAAAATGATTAGAATAAATTAAATTAATTATTAAAAACTAAAAATTAATTAAACGACTTAGACTTAGATGATAATAATAATGAAACATTTATTAAAAAATAATTATAATAGGTCAGGTTAATATTTTATTTATTTATTTATTTATAACATCATAAAATTCTGTCCTTTCCGAAATACGCGAACGCTACGAAAAGATAAATCTCGTACATGCCGCCGGACGAGTTCATGAGCATGAGACGCTCTTATCTTGGGAACGTATTAATAGTTACTGCATTGACCACTACTACGATATGGCGCTGAAATCAGTGAGAAATGCTGGTCTCTCCTTCATCCAGACCTTTGGCGATCTGTCTATTAATCTGTGACAATACATGCGCACACATATGTCACACGTACACAACACATGCAATAGATGCATAGTATTGGCAGAGAGAAAGATGAGAGCGGCCAGGCCGGCGTTTTGGCTGTTACCGTTTTTACGGGACTGCTTGAAGCGCCCCTCGCACCCGTTTTTAATATCGGAACTAACTGCACACCCATTTTCTGGCAGGGTCGATAAAGTTTGTATTTGGTGCGAGTCCGTGCTACGCCCATAATTTTCGTGTTAACACAGTATCACGTATTCATTCTGTATATGTGCGATCTTTTCTCTTTATTATATATATATTATATATATATATATATATTATTTATATAATTTGTATAAAAACTAAAATATAATTATTAAAATATATATATATGTATATGTGTAATGAAATATAAATCTTATTTTATTAAAATAAAAAGAACGATTAATTGTTCGACCACCTGGATTTTGGAATGTAATTTTTAATATATATTATATTATATTTAATATTTATCGCCGCTTCTATTAATATGAAGTGCAATGTCAACGTGCAATAATGTACAATTATTTAAAGTTTCCATGCCTAATGTATCATGCCGGTATAAAAGAACGTCAAGTAGCATGCGTAGCCGAGCAACTAAGATGACGAGCTGAAATCGTGGACATTTCAAGTTCAAACCCCTGCCTTTTTCAGATTTTTTTTTCACTTTTTCAAATAAGTTATTATGTGTATAAATGTGTAATAATCAATATATCATTATTTGATAATTTTTTTTGTAATGGAACAAAATAAATTATTTTTTAATTCTGCAAGGAATTTAATTATTAATGCAAACGCCCACACACATAATTTAGATATTCAATTTTTTTTAGTTCAAATGTTTCTTGCAATCTGTATACGACAATCAGTCCACTCGCTGTGCCACAGATTGCATCGCATAATACGCTCAGAGTTATAATACGATAGAGATCGCTTTACGCTGTTTTTCCTTGAAATAAATAAATTTTACGTGTTGTGTACGCGTGTTTAGTATATTTGTTTCTTTCATATTAATTTTAACTATAATTAGTTTTTTAATTAAGATTATTTTAGTGTTAGTTGTTTATTTGTTAGTGTCCTGTTTTCTTTAATTTCGCATTTTTTAATTTTCTTTTTTTTTGGTGTTGGTGCTAATTATTATTTTTATTTTACAATGTCGAGTAAACACCGGTTTTACGATAAATGTGTGTATTTAAATTGCACAAATATTAGGACAAAAGATGGAAAACGTTTATTTCGATTTCCATTACAAACGGGTGCGAGACATGATTTATGGTTACGCAATAGTGGTGAGTTTATAAAATTGATTTACTTATTTATATCAATATATAATATATATTGATATGATATATGAAACAATATATATATATATTCTTTGTTTTTTTTAATAAAATATGTCAGATATTATGTATGTTTACGTATGGATTACGTTGAAGTGTTTCTTTGCCGCGTTTTTCTGATCTCGCCGAACGGTTCGCGAATCCTGTGCGAATAAAAAACGATGCGCGTGTGTGTGTGCGTGCGATTGTGATGATCAGTTTCAGTTCGTCTTCAACGCTTGACGAGAGAAGAGGTCCCGAACTGCTGTAAGTTTATAAAAACATATTTTTGTATACACATTAGAACGATTTTATATTATTTTTTTTGTCTAGAAAACGTATATATTAATAACCGTTATGAAACGATCTCGACGACGGTCGTCACCGGCATCGTCGCCGTCGAAAAGAGGAGGAAAATAATCTTAATTAAAAAACTAATTATAGTTAAAATTAATATGAAAGAAAACAAATATACTAACACGCGTACACAACACGTAAAATTTATTTATTTCAAGGAAAAACAGCGTAAAGCGATCTCTATCGTATTATAACTCTGAGCGTATTATGCGATGCAATCTGTGGCACAGCGAGTGGACTGATTGTCGTATACAGATTGCAAGAAACATTTGAACTAAAAAAATTGAATATCTAAATTATGTGTGTGGGCGTTTGCATTAATAATTAAATTCCTTGCAGAATTAAAAATTAATTTTTTTGTTCCATTACAAAAAAAATTATCAAATAATGATATATTGATTATTACACATTATACACATAATAACTTATTTGAAAAAAGTGAAAAAAAAATCTGAAAAAGGCAGGGGTTTGAACTTGAAATGTCCACGATTTCAGCTCGTCATCTTAGTTGCTCGGCTACGCATGCTACTTGACGTTCTTTTATACCGGCATGATACATTAGGCATGGAAACTTTAATAATTGTACATTATTGCACGTTGACATTGCACTTCATATTAATAGAAGCGGCGATAAATATTAAATATAATATAATATATATTAAAAATTACATTCCAAAATCCAGGTGGTCGAACAATTAATCGTTCTTTTTATTTAATTAAAATAAGATTTATATATTTCATTACACATATACATATATATTATATTTTAATAATTATATTTTAGTTTTTATACAAATTATATAAATACATATATATATATATATATATATATATATATATATATATAAAGAGAAAAGATCGCACATATACAGAATGAATACGTGATACTGTGTTAACACGAAAATTATGGGCGTAGCACGGACTCGCACCAAATACAAACTTTATCGACCCTGCCAGAAAATGGGTGTGCAGTTAGTTCCGATATTAAAAACGGGTGCGAGGGGCGCTTCAAGCAGTCCCGTAAAAACGGTAACAGCCAAACGCCGGCCTGGCCGCCTCATCTTTCTCTCTTTCTCTCTGTATTGAAATGTCAGTTCTCACGTTTTACAACAGACGAACGGGCGATTTTAGTGATTTTAGTGACAGTTGTACTATCGCACTTGTTTCCAGTTATACGTCTCGTCGAACTGCATTATCTTACGCTAAAGTCAAGGTGAGCGAATTAAAAATTTCGGATATTTCATCTTTATTGCCGATATAATCTCTTGATTATAATATCTTAATTTCTTCTTTTTGTTTTTTTCATAATAACGTGAGTGAATGACGTATGGACGATGCAATTCATTGTTATTTATACACAATTTAATACTTATCAATTCCTGCAATATGATTTATTAATGAATATCTTTATGCATAAAGCTTCATAAAACGACGGTATGTTTTTTATAAATACATATTTTTTTTCATATGACACGTTCGCACATAAATATCAATTGCTAGAGATGATGTAGAAACATCAGAATATTTGCTGCAAAATGTTTCAGATTTCCAAAATGTAATAAAGCCAGAATCCACATTTGGAGGAAAGCATACCAAGTGTGTTTATTGATCTCTGCTTACTTTATTTTATCAATAGGTCTTACATTTTATAATCCATGGCTGTATAATATGTATGTGAGTAATTACATGTACAACAAATTAATAACTTGCTTTTATTTATTATTATTTAGTTATATACAACTTAAAATTATTTAATTATTATAAAAAATATTGCTTTATAGAAATAAATTCTTTCTACATTTAAGAAAACATATAGTTTTATAATAATTGTTATAATAGTTTTAGGGATTTAATTTTCACTTGGAGTAGTAGTTTGCCATTTGATTATAAAGTTTATACTATCCGCATTATACGCTGCATCAGAAGATGTTGCACTGGCAGACGGATAAATTTACCATGGCAAAATATAATTTATTCGTTAATGATATCTGGCATGGACAGCGGTGTGAATATTGGTTTATCCAATTGTTTCAATATCTTTGTAAGTATAAATAATATTATAATGGCAATTATATAATAAACAAAGTGTTCATTATTATTTATTATACAGTTTAATTTCTTCATAAGGTCACCATGACCAAATCAACCACCATTATATTTATTCTTGGATTTTCTCTTCTCTTTAAACTGGAGAAAAAGGTTTGTTTTTAATTGGAATTTTTTTAATTATGTAATTTTAAATTAAATTATATATTTATCAGAATTTCCTTCTATCAGGCAATAATAATTATCGTTTATTGTAGTCATGGTCTCTAGTAGGGATAGTGGTGATGATAGCAGGAGGATTAGCAATGTTCACCTATAAATCTACCCATTTGGTATTCTCGGATTTTATTGTGTCTTCTAGCTTTGTTTGCAAGTGGTATTCGATGAACCATGACACAACTCATTATGCAAAGATCCAAACTCGGTCTCCACGATCCGATAGATATGATGTATTATATGCAACCTTGGATGTTATTACCTGCAATATCTGTAACCGTGTGGTATAAGTATTATCTTATCTTACCATGTATTAAAACAGAATGTTATTTGTTTTCGTTATAAAAGTGAATGCAGAAACGTTTCAGATATTATTTATCTTATTACAATTTTAATCACAATAAAACTCAATTACCGTGCATTAAAATCTTTGATGATTTTATTTGTTAAAATTTATATATTTTGACATCTTTCTCATAAAGTGCAATAAAAATTTTTGTTAAACACTTAATGATTTAGTTATATGTTGCATGTTTTATTATTTACGATATTGAAAGATTAAATTAAATTTTAGGAAGTAGAATTATTAGAGTTACCGATTGGAGTGATATCGGTAGTATTTTGTTAACTGCAAGTGCTGTAATAGCAGGTGCCATTTTAGCATTTAGTATGGAAGTGATGGAATTTTTAGTCAAACCGAAAAATAAGTTTATTGAATATTATAAAATAGGTAATGGTTGTTATCTTAAACGGCGACAGCGCGGCTATCTTATTAATCATTTTAGATTAATGTTAATACACAGCCGGAAATTTTTCTTGCGTTATTGCTTATGTTTAAGATTTCCAAAATGTAATAAGCCAGAATCCACATTTGGAGGAAAGCATACCAAGTGTGTTTATTGATCTCTGCTACTTTATTTATCAATAGGTCTTACATTTATAATCCATGGCTGTATAATATGTGTGAGTAATTACATGTACAACAAATAATAACTTGCTTTTATTTATTATTATTTAGTTATATACAACTAAAATTATTTAATTATTATAAAAAATATTGCTTTATAGAAATAAATCTTTCTACATATTTAAGAAAACATATAAGTTTATTAATAATTGTTATAATAGTTTTAGGGATTTAATTTTCACTTGGAGTAGTAGTTTGCCATTTGATTATAAAGTTTATACTATCCGCATTAATACGCTGCATCAGAAGATGTTGCACTGGCAGACGGATAAATTTACCATGGCAAAATATAATTTATTCGTAATGATATCTGGCATGGACAGCGGTGTGAATATTGGTTTATGCCAATGTTTTCAATATCTTTGTAAGTATAAATAATATTATAATGGCAATTATATAATAAAACAAAGTGTTCATTATTATTTATTATACAGTTAATTTCTTCATAAGGTCACCATGACAAATCAACCACCATTATATTTATTCTTGGATTTTCTCTTCTCTTTAAACTGGAGAAAAAGGTTTGTTTTTAATTGGAATTTTTTAATTATGTAATTTTAATTAAATTATATATTTATCAGAATTTCCTTCTATCAGGCAAATAATAATTATCGTTTATTGTAGTCATGGTCTCTAGTAGGGATAGTGGTGATGATAGCAGGAGGATTAGCAATGTTCACCTATAAATCTACCCAATTTGTATTCTCGGATTTTTATTGTGTCTCTAGCTTTGTTTGCAAGTGGTATTCGATGAACCATGACACAACTCATTATGCAAAGATCCAACTCGGTCTCCACGATCCGATAGATATGATGTATTATATGCAACCTTGGATGTTATTACCTGCAATATCTGAACCGTGTGGTATAAGTAGTATCTTATCTTACCATGTATTAAAACAGAATGTTATTTGTTTCGTTATAAAGTGAATGCAGAAACGTTTCAGATATTATTTATCTTATTACAATTTTAATCACAATAAAACTCAATTACCGGCATTAAAATCTTTTGATGATTTTATTTGTTAAAATTTTATAATTAGTTGACATCTTTCTCATATAAGTGCAATAAAAACTTTTTGTTAAACACTAATGATTTAGTTATATGTTGCATGTTTTATATTTACGATATGAAAAGATTAAATTAAATTTTAGGAAGTAGAAATTATTAGAGTTACCGATTGGAGTGATATCGGTAGTATTTTGTTAACTGCAAGTGCTGTAATAGCAGGTGCCATTTTAGCATTAGTAGGGAAGTGATGGAATTTTTAGTCAAACCGAAAAATAAGTTTATTGATATTATAAAATAGGTAATGGGTTGTTATCTTTACACGGCGACAGCGCGGATATCTTATTATCATTTTAGATATAATGTTAATACACAGCCGGAAAATTATTTCTTTGCGTTATTGCTTATGTTTAAACCATGGCGAAATAGAGGATCTTAAAAATGAATGCGATACTTATACCGAATCGTTTCACAAAGTAAAACTGCATCTTGTAGAAGCATTGCAATATCATGAAAGATTAGAAGAATTGCAAAAAGCATTTGAAACTGCAAAAAGTTAGTTCAGCAATGCTTAGATGACAATTTGCAAAAAGAGCAGTCTCAGGATGATCCTGAAAATGCAATAGGTATTCAAAATATAGAGGGTGAAGCAATGCAAGATTTTAAAGATCTTGGTGATAGAGCAATTCAAGAAATTGATGTATCTGACATGATAGTAAAATTAAATACGGATCAAAAAACGAGTATTTGATAAAGTTACCAATGCTGTAGAGTCCGATAAATCAATATTACGATTATATGTTAGCGGAGAAGGTGGTACTGGAAAAAGTTTCTTAATCAAGACTATTAAATGCTGGATAAAACAAAATCTCAACAAAGATACTGCTGTAACAGCACCTACTGGTATAGCAGCATTTAATATAGATGGTTTGACAGTTCATAGATTGCTTCAATTACCCGTTGAACATGGTCAAACTCCTAAGTATAAACAATTATCTGATTGTGTATTAAAAGTTTTACGAACAGATCTTAAAGATATTATTCTTTTCGTAATTGATGAAGTGTCAATGATATCTAATTTGACTTTAATATATATTCATCTTCGATTGTCTGGATATTTGATACTAGTAATTGCGATGATGGTTGGTTTGGTCGAAAGCATATTCTTTTATTCGGAGACTTGCTTCAATTGCCTCCTGTACGCGAAGATCTTATCTTACACATTTATCCGATCAAAAAATTGCTAATTATCTTGGTTCTTTAAATGCTGTTAATTTATGGATTACATTATTGAATATGATGAATTGATAATCAATATGCGTCAGCAAGGAGATAATTCATACCGTGAATTATTGTCGCGAATTCGTATTGGTTTAGTGACAAAATCTGATTGTAAAATTCTAGAGAGTAGAAAAATATCTTTCAAAGCTGATTCTTTCGAATCTAGATTAAATGAATTATGTGATTTTATTAACAGTTTATCATCGGACACTGTTTGTTTATTTCCTACTTGTAATATGTGTGATGTCCTTAATAATGCAATGTTAAGTCGCATTACTTCCAAAGAAATATTATTAATTGCTGAAGATACGATTGATGTACATCATATGTAAAAAAGAAAGTATTAAAAGTATTGTCAAATAACGATGATGATAGTTCTCGAACAGCTGGACTTTCAAAACAAATTACAATTAAAATTGGAGCAAAAGTTATGATTCGGCGTAACATCGATGCCAGTTGGGTCTTGTAAACGGTACAATTGCTAAAGTAATTTCAATTGTACGAGAAACATCTACTGATGACGTAGAAAAGATTAAACTTCTTTTACCATCAGGTTTAGAATATGAAATTGAAAGAGTAACGGCTAAATTTCAGGTATTGGATAGAGCGTATGTGATTCGAAAACATTTCCATTATCTTTAAGTTATGGCATCACTATTCATAAAAGCCAAGGATTAAGTTTGCAAAGTGTTGTTATGGATATTGGCAACTCTGTATTTAGTTGTGGTCAAATTTATGTTGCCTTGTCGCGAGTAACATCTCTAGAAGGAGTGCATTTAATAAACTTTGATCCTTCAGCAGTAATAGCTAACGAAAAAGCTATTATTGAATATAATCGTTTTAAAACAGATATACAATCCGAAAGCAGAAATGATTGCTGTGTCAAAAGAACGTTGTCGTAAAAAAGATGTTCCATGGGCGTTACCAAAAATAGTTACTTCTGTTCAAAAATCAAATTCAGATCGAAAAATTCAACATACGGTTTCAAATAAAAGAATTCAAAGCACTGCTTGGATCATACGTGGTTTTCAGAATACAGACAAGATTTCATGTTATGCAAATACAGTATTGCAATGTTTATTACATTTAAATATTATTAGGCAGCAGTTGATTAATTGCGATAAAACAGACGTTTTACGTATATTAATGCATCGATATGAAAATGGAATGCGTAATCTAAATACATATGCAATACGGCAATGTTTAGGAGAATATTTTTTGAGTATGGTAAGACGAAACGCGTACGATTTTCTTACGGCACTTTGCGAAAAATATGATTGCATTACAAATTTGATACAACATCAAGTAACTTCTACCAAGCGATGCAAACATGTGGTAATACAAAAACTATTGTTGAAAATAATATTGCTATTTCAATTTCCTTGATAATTTAAAGAAAAAAGTTGTAATCTTAATGAATTATTAAATTCTACATTTTCACATTGGTTTCACTTACACAACGAATCATGTGAATATTGTACTGGAACTGATCAAATATTTAAAAATGAAGTAACATTAACAAGAGAAATAATTGTTATTCGTTTAATACTATTTTTAGCACAAGATGGTAAATTAATAAAAGCAGAAAACAAATTTAATTTATGTGCTGTTCCAACAACTAAAGTATTAATAGCGGGACAATTGTACAAGACGATGAGTGCTATACTTTATGATAGTTCGTGCACCGATGAAGGTCATTATGTAAGCATATGTAGAGAAGGACTATCTAATATTTGGATCGAAATAGATGATGCAGAAGTAAAAAAGAGACAGTGGCCTAGAGGTGCTAAAGATGTTTATATAATATTTTACAAAAAATAGGTAATAAATAATACTAATTCGATATAAAATAAAGTAGTTATAAAATTATTCCTAAATAGATTTTTATAATATCAAGTTTATGACTATTACTATTTAATATTTAATATTTTATTTCGATTAGTCCTATATAAAAAAAGGTTTCGTAATATATTAGCAATTTCATGACAACGCTTTACATTCTGCATTATTCGTGAAGTGCAAAAAAATATTTT